TGAAGACAAAGCCCACAATCCCAGGACCCACCAGACACTTTGTAATCCAACAAGCAGGAGGAAGAGCTATTTACGAGCTTTGCTCACCTGTGTAAAAGTGATTGGCTTGTCCCTGGAGATATAGTCCGCATATTTACATGTAAACATCCCACAGTCGCTGCCATTCAACTGCTGTGGAATTTCCTGAGATTAAGGGACAGGAAAAAAAAGAAGGTTACACACAAATTCTTCCATCCCATTTCAAACCTGCTTTCTGCCAGGCACAGACTCAGTATTGCACATCCTAACTACATTCCCAGCATGTTCATGGGTTTATCCCAGCACACCAAATATAAAAACTCACTCCCAAAACACCTACGTTACTACACCGAGCTAATACATCATGTTCCTGTGGCTCGTGCATAATATCTGAGGGAAAGTCCATTTCTGCCTTGAACACTGAGCAGCACAATGGGGCCCTGGTCCCTGGGACCTTGACTCCACCAGAAACAACTTAAAATCGATACCTCCACTTTAATTATACCCCTCCCCCATCACTTGCTGGAATCAGCCGCTGTAGAGGTCAAGCTACAGAAGGATCAGCTTTGGCACTGCATTTCATGGGACCTGCACATGCAACCCTAAACTTTCAGAATTTCCTCCCCACAAGTTCTCAGCAGTGGCTCAGTACAAGAAAGCCAGATCTGCCAATCTCCACTTGCTCTCCAACTAATTAGAGAAAGAAAAAAAACTGCAGCTGTGGGGGAAAGAAGGGATGGACTAATGAATGGGATCCGTTATCCTGCCCAAATAAGGACATACAATCTGTAGACCTAGAACTGGAATTCAGAGCTGCTTCTGTAATGCACCCAAGCTGCTGGGAAGCTGTGGGTACTGGGCAGAGAACTCTTAATTAAAAGTAGGCAATGGTCAGTGTGAGGCTACAAGTATCTGCAGCTGCATATACCTGGGGTCTTTTCCATCTCTGAAACCAGCAGATGGTGGCAACATGAGGAGGGAGGATCTATACTGACAAACTGCTTGGAGAACCAGACATTTGAGAGAGAGAGAGATTTTTAAAAGGTTCTAATTCACGGATTCCCAAAGTTTTGCTCATGGAGGACTCCCTTAATATGGGCACTAGATGCTGGGAGCAGCAAAGCAAACCAATCGGCAATGCAACACCACCACATTCATTTAATGACAGGATGGGATCTGATCCCTAATCCAAACCACCACACCTATACATACATGGCAGGAAGTGCAATTCTGGGATCAGGCTCTAATCACACCTTTGCTACTTAACAGTGCAGAGAAGAGCCTGGAACCATAACCCCAGGCTTCAACTTGCTAGTGCAGGTGGTCTGAAGCTGACAATCAGCTGATTGTGGACCCCAGCCCTTGACCATAGCAGGGCTAGTTCAAGTCCCCAGAAGCCTCAGAGTTGGAGCAGACAAAATCAGCTGATTGTCAGCCCCAGCTGCACAGCCCCACGTCTCAAGCTGTTCAGGCTGAGGCTGATAGTCAGAAGACTGTCAAAACCTTGCTTCAGCAGCTTTGGGCAAACTGCCACACAAAGGATCCATTCCAGATCCCTATACAGTCTCGGCCCCAGCTGACTGTCAGTCCCGGCCACATGTTATGTTTTAAGCCACCATGAAAACCTGATGTCAAAATGTTCTGCATTATTTCTGACTCGTCTCCCATTTTATGGCACCTTCAACTGAGTGCACGTGTAACACACAGCCCACGTACGCAGCAATTAATACATTAAAATCATGGCATAGATGCAGTGTGTAGAGGGGGGACACAGAAAACCACATCCTGTACAGAAATTGACTGTTTCAGCAAGTGGCACTCTCTCCGCGCACAGCCCATAAACTTGCCTGTGACCCTTCAAACCAAGACATGTATGCGCAAATATTGCCGACGTACATGCGATTTCATGCTGTAGAGAGTCCACTCCGAAGAACAAATATCTACATTCCTTTTGGTCTTACTTTCTTCCAGCAGATATTGACTATGCAAAAAAAAAGAGTGAAAGTGTCAGGCATCTTCATGTTTTAAGCCAACAGTCTGTACAGTTATTGGACTCTCTAAAAATTATATGCCAATGGTTACAAATACAATGAAGAATGTGGTATTGTGTCAAAGGTAACTCCTTCTGTGCCTAAAACTACATAATATTACATGTGATTTTAAATCCCAAGTTAGTATGAGCTTATCTACAAGGCTTGTGCATTAAACTCTCTCTCTCTCTGATCAAAGCCATCAAGAAAGCCAAGCATACAAGATGTGGTCATTATTCTGAAGCCCTTGTAGATCCTTTCCTCAGAAATCATTTTCCAGTTTGGAAGTGGAGAAGGAATTACAGGTGGCTTTTTAAAAAAAAAAAAAAAAAAACAGTTTAAAAGACAGTAACTATTACAGGTTCAGTAGAAGAATGAATGGCAAAACAGTTTGCTTTGGAAGCAGTTTGCTGGGAACAAGAGGAGGAAGGGGAAGAGGAACCAGGCACCAAATCCTGTTCTGGGAAGGTAGGTGAGCCAGGGTTGCCTGTGTGCTTGGCTTGCTGGGGGCTGTTTGGTGGGTTTGTGTGCTTGAGTATGTGCTCCGAGCAGCTGACTGGACTGACTGCTGATTGACTGCCGCCTGGGTGTGACAGAGGGCTCTAACAAAGGGGCCTAGCTAGTCCAGGCCCCAGGCCCAGGGCAGGTATATAAAGGAGTCAATCCAAGCAACCAGGAATAAGCAGCAGCAAACAAAACAGTTTGCAAGCAGTTTGCCAGTCAGTTCACATGTCAGTTTGTGGCCCCGCTTTTTGAAAGAGCCTGAAAGGGAATATTTAAAAACAAAAACAAAAAAAAACAAAAAAACCCACATAATTAGGACTGACTACTACATAGTTTTATTTTAGCAGCTAAAACTCAGCAGTCAGACCAAGACTTAAGCCCCTTGCTTAGCTAGCGTGAGGGGGAGTTTGCTTTGAAACTCTTTCATTCCTTCACTGGAAGCTTGCTGAGAGGAAAGAGGTTGCAGGGAAAACGGAACCCTTCAGATCAAGGAGCAACAAACAGGCCAGCTACAAAGGAATTTGCCACGGAAGGTCTGTTGGAAAGAGGCATGAAATTAGAGGCAGCAGATCAGAAGACAGAGACATGGCTGGAGGATGTTGCAATCCCACAGCCACTTCCAACTCTTCCTCTCTTCTGAGGTGCCTGTCCAGGCAGGAGCACACACCACTGAGGCTTCCACTCAGGTCCTGGTCTGGTGCTGTGCAGAATGCGGCTTGCAGATTCCTTCCAGTGTCAGCCAGGTGGGGGAGTGCCTGCAATGTGAGTGGTGTCTTCTGGTGGTGTCCCTCAGGAAGAAGGCAAGAGAGCTATAGGAGGAGGTAGCAAGGCTCCAAAGCATCCTCCGCCATGATGATTTCATCGTTTTGATGTTGGAGGAAACCTCTAGGACTGTGGAGGAAGGATTGCCAGAGGCGGTGCTAGAGAAGGAAGAGGGCACGGAGCCCAGGAAGGTAAGAGCTTGTATCTTTTGGCAACAAGAAGTCATCATCCCCACGTGCAGTGGTTTGCCTAGAGAACAGATATGAAGCACTAGCTACAGAGGCAGGAGCGCACATTCCATGGGTGAAAGAGGCCATGTCAGGAATCCCCAAGGTGGGGAGGGCCAAGGCAGCTGCCACGAAAAGGAAGAGATGGGTGTAGGTGGTTGGAGACTCCCTTCTGTGGGGGACAGAAGGATCCGTCTGCCAGCCTGACCTGTTCTCCTGGGAGGTCTGCTGCTTGCCTGGAGCCTGGATCTGAGATGTCACGGAAGGATTGAGACTCAGCCACGGGCAGCTCCCAGACTACTACTACCACGTGCTGCTCATCCATGTGGTGGTGCACACATGAATGAGCAGCATGGGGTATTGATACAGCTAAGGGTGACCCAGAGCAAATCAAGAAGCACCGAGCAGCACAGTTTGGGAAGAAGGTGAGCAGCCCTCAGTGTGCAAGACCAGGTTAGGGACTATTTAGAAAAACTGGATGTGTACAAGTCTGTGGGGCCAAATAACAGTCTGCGTGGATTCACCAAAGGCAAGTCATGCCTGATCAACCCGATTGCCTTCTATGAGGAGATAACTGGCTCTGTGGATGCAAGAAAAGCAGTGGACTTTAGCAAGGCTTCTGATAAAGTCTCCCACAACATTCTTGCAAACAAGCTGAGGAGTTATGGGTTGGATAAATGTACTGTAAGGTGGATAGAAAGCTGGCTAGATTGTCAGGCTCAATGGGTAGTAATCAACGGCTTAATGTCTAGCTGGCAGCCAGTATCAAGTGGAGTGCCCCAGCAGTCGGTCCTGGGGCTAGTTCTGCTCAATACCTTCATTAGAATCTGGAAGATGGCATAGAGCACACCCTCAGCAAGTTTGCAGATGACACCAAGCTGGGGGGAATAGTAGATATGCTGGGGAGGTAGGGCTAGGATCCAGAGTGACCTAGATGAATTGGAGGATTGGACCAAAAGAAATCTCACAAGGTTCAACAAGGACAAGTGCAAAGTCCTGCACTTAGAATGGAACAATCCCATGCACCGGTACAGGCCTGGGACCAACTAGCTAAGCAGCAACTCGGAAGAAAAGGACCTCAGGGTTACAGTGGACAATAAGCTGAATACGAGTCAGCAGTGTGCCTTTGTTGCCAAGAAGGCTAAAGGCATACTGGGCTCCATTAGTAGGAGCATTGCCAGCAGACCTAGGGAAGTGATTATTCCACTCTATTCTGTACTGGGGAGGCCACATCTAGAGTACTGTGTTCAGTTTTGGGCCCCTGACTATATAGAGGGGATGTGAACATGTTGGAGAGAGTCCAGTGGAGGGCAACAAAAATGGTTCAAGAGCTGGAGCACATGACTTCCGAGGAGAGGCTGAGGGAACTGGGCTTATTTAGTTTGCAGAAGAGAAGACTGAGGTGGCATTTGATAGCAGCATTCAGCTACCGTAAGGGGGGTTCTAAAGAGGATGGAGCTGGACTGTTCTCAGTGGTGGCAGATGACAGAAGGAGCAACTGTCTCAAATTGTAGCAAGGGAAGTTTAGGTTAGATATTAGGAAACGCTCTCTCTCTCTAGGAGGGTAGTAAAACACTGGAACAAGTTACCTAGAGAGGTGGTGGAATCTCCATCCTTGGACATTTTTAAGGCCCAGCTTGACAAAGTCCTGGCTGGAATGATCTAGTTGGGGCTGGTTCTGCGTTGAGCAGGGGGTTGGACTAGACATTACTTCCTGAGGTCCCTTCCAACCCTCATTTTCTATGATTCTAACTACAACGTTCATTCAGCAAACTAAAATGCATAGTAACTTGTCAGTGCATCATATATCAGAGTTTGTGTACTATGCTGTTAATTTTTGTTTAATGAGGTTTGGCAGGTTACTTTCAAAGAGTGCTAAGAACAAGAGTGGGTAAAGGTATTTGTATAGCTGGCCCAAAAGGGTGCAAGTGAAGTACATTACCTCAAATACTTCTACAGAATTAAAGTTCTTTTAAACAGCTTAAACCTTCTCATGGGATCTCAACTATAACTTCAATTTTATCATATGCTGGCAATGAACACACTGGGAATGGAGATTTCTGTTACGCAAGCACAAGTCTTGTGCTAATAAAAAAATCCCATTCTAGCTAACAATTCCAGAAAAATCTCTCTCCTAGGAGGGAAGTATATAAATATGCATTCAAGGAAGCATTTACTCACCGCAAAGTTTCACATATCTTGTAGCCATTTTGACCCATTGAGTCAAAATATTTAATGTTCTTTCTTCTGACATCTATCACCTGTTATGGAAGGACAGGAATTGGGGGGAGGAGGGGAAAACCCAACAGTGAGCCATATCAGACCAAAAACTAAAGCTGTTTTTAGCTTTTCTCTTCCAGTTCAAAGGAAGGGCCAGTTTGACTCACCACTAATCCCCAGTGCACCTGGAGGTGAATTGGCACCAAGATGAGGTCCTTACTGAAGATGTCCACACCTTTCGTCCATCTTCTTACTGCTTGGTAACCTCCAGAAGTTAATTTGGGATAGAAAAAAGTGCTGAAAGCATGAAGCACTGGCAACCCCTGCTTGTTATTTCTCTCCACCAGAAGATTCATGTAGAAATTGATCACCTGTATAGAAGGGAAATTTTAGAAGGGAGGGGAAGAAAAAAAAAGAGTCATGCTGGATTTCCTGTCTACTCAAATTCACACCTTCCTGCTGGATTAAGGCAAGAATCAGAAAACAGCCCTGTAAACAAGTTAGAATGGAGTTTGTGGCATACTGATTAATTTATGTACAAACAGACCAATTCCCATTAGATCAGTTTTACCTCATCGTTGAGCCACTGATGGTTTCTTAGAGTTTGGATGTCCCCACGAGTGACCTTTAATTTAAAAGCACTGCTCAGGATCTCATTCTGCTGGCCACGGCCAAGTGCATTCATGATCTCTCTCTCCATGTCCTGAAACAAGCAATTCCACAGTGACTAGTGATGCCAAATTGAGCAGACCAGGTAGCATAGCACAGTAAACCAGGAAACACCTGGTCATAGGGCAGTGCTGGAGATGGGATACTAGCTAGTGCTGTTTATCAGGGCAGATGGTCACTAGCAGTGGCAATTTTCTGCCAAGGTGTATTCATCTGGTCCTTAGCCACTGAACAATATTCTGTATTTCACAGTTACTGGGCATGTCTACACCTGTATTAATGCACTTTTCCTAATGCACATTAGCAAAACCACACTTTTTTAGCCTATTGTACTGTGCATTAGCATATTTGCATGGTTTTTAATGCAACACTTAAATGCGCAGTAAAACAGGCTACTGCACATTAAAGTAAAATGTGTAGATGCCACATTTGGACTATTTTAAAGTTGCTTCAGTCTCTTGGATCAGCCAATACTCTCTCCATGAGCCAGAGCCCAGATACTGTCACGCGGACTTTTTAGTTTAGAAGTTGGTTCTCAAAGACTGAGGATTACAAGAGTGCAAGAGGTTTCACAGAAATAGTTCCATAAAGTCTAAACCCAGCACTACCTGCATTTTGGACTATCCTATTTCCACTCATACACAAGTACCCTGAATGAGCAGGAAGAGAAAAGTTATGTAGCATATACACATCAGCAAATGCAACGGAGCACATTTAAAAGGAGTATAGAGAACCATTCCCCCTGGCAGTACTACAGCTGCTATGATCCAAGATCCAGAGCCAACCACAAAAAGCACTCAGTGCTAGCTAGTGGGAAAGTGAATTTGAAAGGAAGTCTAACTTGGTAATTTAAAAAACTTCCAACTTCTTGCAGGTATTTTTAAGCAGGGGAGACAAATAGGGTAAGGATGACAGACAGAGAGACATATGGTGGTCACAGTAGTGTGGTTTGGAAGAAATCTGGTTTCGTTTTATGACCAGATCACAAAATGCTTAGACACAGGAGCAGAGGCGACCTGAGCAGGGTGCAGGGCCCGGGGCAAATCAGCCATTGTGGGGCCCTGCCCCTGCTCTGATCCCACAGCCCCCAGCCCTGAAGAAGCTGCTGCCTCCATTGGCAGCGGCAGGAAGCGAGTGGCTGGACGCAGAGCCACCACTCCACCAGGCTCTGCACCACAGCTCCTCAGCCCAGCTCTGCAGGGCCCCCCAAAGGGCCCAGGGCAGTCGCCCTGTTTTGCACCCCCAGGGACAGCCCTATGATGCAGGAGTAGAGGTGGATGTCGTTTTCTTGGATTTTAGGAAGGCCTTCAATACGGTATCTCATCCCACTCTCATAAATAAAGTGACTGTGGCTTACATGTTTACACAGTCCAGTGGGTGGCAAAATTGGCTTGGGGGTCGCATCCAGAGTGGTAGTAGATGGGTCAGCATCGACCTGGAAGGATGTGGGTAGTGGGGTCCCACAGGGCTCGGTCCTTGGACCTGTACTCTTCAATGTCTTCATCAATTACTTGGATGTGGGCATGAAGTGTTTGAGGACAATACTAAATTGTGGGGTGAAGTGCACACTCCAGAGGGTAGGGAACGATTACAGACAGACCTGGATGGGTTGGAAGAGTGGACAGAACACAATAGGATACAATACAACAAGGACAGATGCAGAGTGCTGCACCGAGGGCGTAAAAATATCTAGCACACCTACTGGCTGGGGAATAACCCTCTCAGCAGCACAGAAGCGGAGAGGGATCTCAAAGTCATAGTGGACTCCAAGATGAACATGAGCTGTCAGTGTGACAAAATCATAAGCAAAGCTAATCACACTTTATCATGCATCAGCAGATGCATGACAAATAGATCCAAGGAGGTGATACTTCCCCTCTCTGCGACACTGGCCAGACCACAATTGGAGTACTGCGTCCAGCTTTGGGCGCCATACTTTAAGAAGGATGTGGATAACCTCAACAGGGTCCAGAGGAGGGCCACTCATATGGCTAAAGGTTTACAGGCCAAGCCCTATGCAGAGAGACTAAGGGACCTGAACCTCTTCAGCCTTCGCAAGAGAAGGCTCAGAGGTGATCTTGTGGCCACCTACAAATTCATTAGGGCGGCACAGTAAGGAATCGGAGATGCTCTGTTCACCAGGACGCCTCTTGGGGTAATAAGGAACAATGGCCACAAACTAGGAGAGAGCAGATTTAGGCTAGACGTCAGGAAAAACTTCTTCACGGTAAGGGTGGCCAAAACTTGGAATGGGCTTCCAAAGGGAGGTGGTGCTCTCCCCTACCTTGGGTGTCTTTAAGAGAAGGCTGGATAGGCATCTGGCTGGGGTCATCTGACCCCAGCACTCTTTTCTGCTCAGGAAAGGGGTTGGACTCGATGATCTGTTGCGGTCCCTTCTGACCCTAGCATCTATAACTACCACATCCTATGCACCTGAAAGTTTACTCATCCTTGGTAGATGGACAGATACGAGCTCTTAACTGGACAGACTTCAAAAGAAACACAAGAATAACCAAAGAAAAGGCTGAATGATTCCATTGCTTTCAGGATTTTCTGATTCAGAAAGGCAAAGTGAAAGGGTCCAGTACCTCTGTGAGCTGTGGAAGGCGTTCTACAATCTTTTCTGAGCTTGGGTGTTTCTGTTCTTTTACTCCAAGTGTAGAGGGCCTACTGGATGAGGCAGAGCCCAGGCATAACCGAACTGACACCTCCTCTGAAAGGTCAGTCTCAGCACGTCTCTGTTGGGAGGAAGGAACCTTAGTAGCATGCATTTTGTTAGCATGTCATTGCCAATCTTGTTCGTATACAGAACAAAGTTTTCTGCAGTTACCCCCATGAGAAAATTCTACCCCCCTGCAGAGTTGAACATGCCACTGATTCCCCTGTGGAACAAAATAAAACATTCTTAGGATTGCAAGCACTGCTAATAGATTATTAATGCTAAACATTTCAGTTGGTATTTATATGCAAAATATACCTTTGTATCAAAACTTAATTGTACTTGGGTTTTAGTTAACATGTTTGTCAAAAGCTACTTGGATCATCTGAAAATTTCTTTCAGGTTTTACAAACAAATTTCCACAGGTAGCAATTACAATTTTTTACCAACAACTGTGAATAACAACATCCATGCTCCTCAAATAGAATGATTTACAAAATTGAAGCAAGTTAGAAATGTTTCAATCTGGAAAGAATCCTAGTAATTAGAAAAGAGCTCCTCCAATTTCTGAACTGGATGCTTCACTCTGGACTCAAGCGTGACCAGAGAAAGTAAGTGAGGACTGCTCCCTCCCAGGTGTTTGAAAAGTGGCCTGTTGTACCACTGGCCTGTTACAGGGCTGTGATGCAAGTTCCACAGAATTGCACATTTTAAAAGTTATAACCAATTAGCTTCTGAGAAGAAAAGAACAGAAAGTAGGTCAGTCACACGACCCTACTAGGAAGCTTAGATTGTAAGGGTGTTCCTCTTTCTATACATGCTTTTCAAGCGACCACACTCCTACAAAGGCCACACACCACAGATACAAGCATGGCTGGTCTGGGCAGGAAGAGAAAGATATAAAACTGTTTTCAAGGTACAAGCATGGCTGTTCTGGTCAGGAAGAGAAAGATATAAAACTGTTTTCAATCCTAGTTACAAGATACAAATTCACCAAAGGGTGGGGGTGGAAATCCAAGCTTACCCCTCTGTTTGTTTGTCCAATTGTTGTTCCAGGTTCTTGAGGGTTTCTGGGGGGGGTCCGATATCTGGGACAGAGAAATGGGTCATGTTTCTCACACGATAGTTTGGGGCCAGAGGTTTGAGAGGAAGCTGCTACTGTAGGGACCAACACAGCTAGTACCTCAGTAAAACTGCAGGAAATACAAAAGTTAAGAGTTGTCCATCTTAAAGCCCCAATACTCTGCCGATGTCAATAGGGAAGATGGAAAGAAAAGGTAAGTGGTTTCAACTTTCCTTCCACTTACAAAAATGAGGTACTACTGCTGTGTCTACAACACTAGGCCTAAGAACATACAGCTTGACCTTAGAACTAATCTTAAAAAGTTGAAGGCCACATGACCTGGTAGACTGTACAACTCCCTGTCTAAAAGAGGGATAACAATACCACCCTCCTTTACCCAGCACTTTGAGATCTATTGAGTTAAGAACTGCAAGAGGCAGTGTTATAACACAGGACTAGTTTTGATTGTCCTATATAAATAAAAAAAAATTCCCCCATGCAAAACACAAATATACCTAAAGGATCTGAATCCAGACAGCTTCACTACGCCAACCCCAAGACTGAGAGCACAGAGGAGGAAAATAGTGGGTTGCTAGAAGATTTTTACTTGCCTTCTTTTGGGTAGTTAGGAAAGACTTGCCTTTGATATTCTTAACAGGGCAAGGAGTTACCCACTTGCAGAAGCTGAAGTTGTCAGCATATACACGCCAAAGAGAAACACATTCAAGAACACACACCTTGTGATCAAAATCAACCTTTCTCCAGTCTGACATGGGATCCCAAACTCATTACAAATAATGCAGATTCAATCTAGCATGGGTATACACAGACGTCTCAGAAGATTTACCAACTAGCTTCACTTCTATATGACTCAAGTGATTACTTTTTCTTCAAGGCAAGGAAAAATGCATTTCAGCTTTCTAAACCTAATCAGGAACAACTGCACAACTGAAGACTTAACCTAACATTAATATATTTTGATAACTGTTCGGACTTAGTTGTACAAACAGTCCAAAAACTAGTTTGTGTCCCACAGGCTAGCTACTTCACAGTCTGCTGTAGCAAAGGACCAGCCAATGGACTGTCAGAGTGTCATAGTAAATGCTGCAGAGAACAGAAACAGCAAGGTTAAACCTTCCTTCCCTCCACTAACTCCTGCGCACATGGGGAAGAATGAGACATTTCTTTCCCAAACCTAAAAGCTGCGATTGCCATGGGGTCTATAAAGCCAGGCTGCCTTCTACACCAGCATCTACAACTACAACTAGCCTGAGATCAGAACATCCAGCTTGGAGAAGCTTTTGAAGGGAGGAGAGAAAATGCTATTCTACCTTGTCAGAAAAGAAGCTTAACTCAAGTGTAATACTAGGGTAAGAGGACACAAAGGCAACAACTGTAACTCTTGTTTCCTCCAGGATTAAACTTGGGGCAGTATTGCTACATCTGTATGCTCCTTCACACACAAGAAGGTAACAGCTCCTGCCCTTTTGAAACCGCTCCAAGAGGTCATGTCCACACTTTCGGGTGCATTCTCTACTGCAGGGGTGACCATCCTCTGGCAAGGATGCCACAAGTGTGGTAAGGCAGTTTGTGTACGATAAGCATAAGATCAGAGGGAACAGACAAGAGGCAGGAAGCAGAAAGCAAAGCAGTGAACTGTGCAGGGACTACAAAGAATCAAAAAGCAGAGCAGCAGATCAGGCAGGGGAAAAGGATCTGAGTGGTACTCTGGAAGGGTGCAGACCTAATTCAAGGCACTCCTGCCAAAAACGTTGGCCCTCAACTGTTCTAACCATCAAAGATTTCTTCTTTCTGGAAGGATTTTAGGAACTATGCACCTACAGTCAACATGCACAAGGTTTTGTACCTGATCATATCATTTCTTCGAGACCAGAGTGGGCTCCAAGTTTCAGTATCTCTGCTACCTGGATGGAAGGACAAGAAAGTGCAAACAGAAAAACAAAAATCAATTTCCAAGTTAGTACCACTGTGGGAACAGCTAGTTCACAGGTTCAATCCGAGCCAAAAGCTTACGCAGGAATTAGATGCCACTCTGACCAAATGCTGCTGCCATGGTAACATTATGACAGCTCTTGCTCCAGGGCATGTTTAGATAGTCTCCCTGTAGGGTAAAGCTATTGAATGATACTATACATCCTTGTGTTGTGAAGCATCTTCCATTACATGTTCTTAACCATTTTCAAAAGCTGGACACATTTTAATGAGTCTCCAGCGGGAGTGAAAGGAAGGGCACCCACCACAACCGACTTTATCACCACCACTAGCGAGCATGACTGGGACAGTCCTGGATTACGTGCAGTTAGCTGCAAATGAAAGACTAGCCTCGTATCAAAATAAGTTTTCATTGGCTCAACTTCCCACAATAAACGTCTTAAGTTGAATGTCAGGGGCATTTAAAACAAACAACACACATACTCAGGGAGGTGTGGGGGGGCACTTTAATTAGCGAGCCATGCTAATTAAAAGCACCCGAGCATCACGCATATCAGCATCCCCTGCACTGAAAAATGCCAGCGGGGGCGCTTTGAACTAAAGGTCATTGAATGAGCTTTAGTTCAAAGTGCCCTGCCACCATTTTTCAGTGCAGGGGATGCTGATACACATGATGCTAGAGTCTGCTGGAGTGCATTAATTTCTGTGCTCCAGCAGATTTGATCAATAGAGTCTGCTCTGACATGCTAGATTTCCAGCACAGAGCCAGCTCCCTGCACATCTATTGGAGCCCCAGGTTTTCAACCTGCTAGAGGGGCAAGTAAGTAGGAAAATAGCTTAACAGAAACAAAGGTCAATTTCCCATTATTAAAAAAAAAAAAGTGCAATTAATTGTTTTAGTGTTGTTAGCAGAATCTTGTAGCTATAATGGTCCAGGAAATGAGGCAAGGACTTTTGCATTTAATTTGAAAACTTGTCAAAGACTATGCCAGCCATGTAGTTTGTCCAATTTAAAAAAGATATTGCCCACAAAAATGTGTTTTTGACAATTCTCCCATCATGAAGCATCCATAAATAGGATATATAACAAGACTTTTAAAGGCTACAATACGTAAGGCCCATGTTTAGGCATTACTTTGACTTGGTGTACCCAAAGGGTTTAAACCTAGTATCAAACAGGTTCAGTGATAGAACTGAACTCTGTTCCAAAAGTACTATTTTCTTGACTTCAGTGTAGAAACTATTTCTTTCCCCCACACCTACTCAAAAGTGAAATTCTCTATTCTCCTCACCATCTGATCTGGTGCATATTGTAGCAAGCCACCTCCAGGGTATACCTTCCCAATACAAAACAAATGTTTTCTGCCCTCATCTTCCGTTTTATTTCCTAATCTGAACATAGTAACAGAACCCTATGGAAAAACACTTTTTTCATTTTTCCCCCTATTTGTTTGGGAAATGCGTAATCCAAAATAGTTTGTATGAACAGCAACATATCCATATTTCCTTATGAGTTCATTTATAATATACTAAAGTTTTCTTTTAAAGAATGTTCTCATTAGTAGGTCATTAACTTTTTAAATACATTTTAACAATCAGAGAGCTCCTCATACTTGGTTGATACATATCGGAACTTCGAAAATTCCTCCTATGTTTGCATGCCACGTTCTAAAAGTAAGAGGGGGGTGGGGAGGGGAATGATCAACAGCTGTGTATAAAAGTAGTCTTCAGGGAAGTATCAGTTAACTTCCACAAAGGCAAGTACGAGTTTAGTTAATACATGACAGATGCATATAAATTGTTCTTTAAGGTGGGGAAAAAAAAGTAATCTCAAATGTAGTAAAGCTATACATGTATAATGCACATCTTAACAAGTTAAAGAACTTAAAATTATCATGAAAAAATGCTTATATTTAGTACTTGAGCAGGTGGCTGGACTAGACTGCCTAAGATCCTCGCCAACCCTACTATTCTACGATACAAGCTGAACCTTTGCTTTGTCTGGACCCTCACAAAACTCAGCATTCCACTGACTTTAGCCAGATCTACATTTTACTGTTGCTGGCATGTAATGTTCATTAAGGGTAGGATTTAAATACTTTTACTCCAGCAGAAACCCACAGGTAGATAGCTGCTGTAGAAGACTATTTATTTTATTCAGGCATCAATTTACACCACTGTATGTTCTGGTGTAGTTTAAGGTACACCTACAAAAAACAGAAGGTTTACCAGTATAGTAAAACCAGCAAGCCTTTTCTAGCACAGACTAGGGGTATGGACAAATGAAGCTGCAGTGAGGCAACAGCATGCAGGAATCTACCACAGAGCAACTGACAGGCAGAAACAGTCCAGCTGCCTGTTACGGTGAAAGCTAAAACAAGGCAGCTTGCCCCAAATGAAACAGCGCTAAGATGCCTTACTTTAACTGTTACTTGCCCATGAGGTGAGAATAGGCAGATAGATGGTTACTGCACATCAAGCTGTTCTGTGGTATGTCACACACTCACCAATTCCACTGTCTGTCAATATCCTACAAATATCCCATGGCTTTAGGATCAATTTCAGAGAAAAAAGCACCACTTGATTGCCTGTGTATTGCAATACAGAACTACTTCCAGAATACATACAGACTTACCGGTCCTTAGTGTCACAAATGGAGGCGCTCTTACTCCACGATAGTGTTCTTCCACACGGCCACCAGCCCTTAGTGGTTCCCTGGAGTAGGTTTGAGTACTTTTGCACAGCAAGAATCAGAAAAAGGAGAAAAGGCTGTCAGAACTTCCTCTGAAGGAACCCCAACACATGCTAGGGTAACCAGGACATGCACATTGTTTAAGCAAGCTGGAACCCCTTCCCACACAGCCCTGGGGTGCAGAACATTAGGCGCGACCACAGCACAAGCAACAGAAGTTGGTCTACCAGGATTAGGCTACCGATCCATTAGTGGGGACTCCCCAGCACCAACAACCGTTTAACCCAGAAAAGAAAAAGGACCATGGAAGCAACAGCTGCAGTTGGAAACGCTTCAAAACACTGCTCATTTCCACCCCAAACTGGGCTTCAAATCTGGTCAACTGCCTAGTCTGGATGAAACCCACATCTTGGTTTTGATTTTACATTTTACTGCTCCTGTCTGAGGTTTGCAGGATTGAATCAAAGGGTAAGCATTTCCCTAACAGATGCAACAGAGGAGCGGAAGAGAAACTGAGAATAGAAAAACTCCCAAAGCTCATCCTTTGTACACCTCTGCCAAGTGTCCCTTGCTCAGTTATTTAAGCCTCTGTAATGGCCACAGAGCCGTTCCACTAGGATAACTGCATACCCTGCAGCAGATTCAGAAGCAGGCTCAGTGTTGAAGTCCTTTGACAATGTCCAGTTAACAGAACTCTGAACAACACTGATAAGTTGTTTCACCAAAACAGCTACAAGGTTCCCTGTAAAGAGATTGCTTTCCCTTTGCCTCTCCCAACAGAGAGATCTAATATTTTTCCCCAGCTATTTTACTAGTAATAATAGTGATCAGTAATTACTTGTAGTGATTTGCAGCTACAGGAGTAGACTTGTTTCTAGGATATTTTTCCTTCACAAATTCCAACAGGAGCTTGTATTTTTCTTTCTCCTGTCTTTGGACACCCTAACAAAATGAAAAAAAAGCTAGGTTAAAAACTACTGCCAAGAACAAGTAGCAAAAATGTTAAAAGCAAATCAAACGCATGAAACATACACGTTGCTGGAAATGCAGGTAACGTTTAGGTAAGGGTCTCTTTCAGCCAAAACAGTGCTCTGGCTGACTCATGTTGAGCTGTTGGTCCTGTTGGCCTACGACCTCTAGAACCTTTCAGAATTGTTCCTTTCCAGGCTAACTATTCCCATTCAGCTGCCAACACCTGCAGTCTTCATTCCTAGTTGTAAAGCTTTGTACTGGGCAAGGGTTTGCAAGTGCCCAGGTTACCACACAATTCAAATACCCTGCACAACTGATCTGTCCTCATCATTTACTAGTCCACCATCCTGTGCATCATTAATGATGATTTTATAATTACTTTGGATGTTTTTCATCAAAACAATGGTCTGGGTTGGTACAAACCCAGAAACTCCTCTCTTCAAAGATGCCATTTACTATTGGGGGGGGGGGAAGGGAGGAGAATCTCCTGTTACAGCAGCTGTGTCTACACATGCAATTAATGTGAAATAATGAACTCCAGAGCAGTTTGAACCGGAGTAAACTACTCCCGGGCACAGTGTCCATACATGTGCCCAGGACAGCAGCAATTTGAGCTGAGGCAGACTAGGCCTGGGCTGGCAGGTGCTAGGGGGCAGACAGGAGTCTGACTCACGGCTGGATGGGCTGACTGAGCACAACTTACAACAATGGTCAAGGTCTGCATGTGTTCAATCACAGTAAATTACCCTGGTATAAGATGGTAGTGTCCCGGACAATACCATCTTATGCCAGCATAAATTAGTTTATTGCAGCCTAATACTGTCTCACATGTAGATAGTGACATTTACTCTGCAACCCGTTAGTCTACTCCGCAGTAAAGAGAGTGTGTAGATGCGGCCAGTGAGATTCAACCTATATCTAACAATCAATGGTATTGAATTAAAGCTTGTTTTCTTGAGGGGTTTTCTTATTTCCACAGGGGTACCAGAACTTCCCTGGAGCATTGCACTGTTCCTACTCTGTTTGCCCTGTAAAGGAAGGGGATGATGACACTTTGGGGAATTCGATTGGGGAGCTCCAACAAACTGTTACAGGGGCTCCAGAGGATTGCAAACACTTAAGTGGGTTAGCCTGCACCTTCACTTCATAAATGGGTGGATTATCAGATGAAGTTAGAGCAGCACCTATGCTTTAACTCGGGGGCATCAAAGATACAGCCTGTGGGCCACGTCTGGCCCTCAGAGCCCTGTTATCCAGCCCCTGGAGTTGCCCTCGGGTCCAAGTTGACCCACACACTGCACAATGAACCAGGCACATGAGAAGAGGCCCAGGAGGCATGCTGCACATGGCATCCATTCCAACCACCATGGGACCTGTGCAGCAAGCCCCAGCTGATCCAGGACCTACACTGCCCACCCCTAGTCTGGGAAGCAGTAAGGATTCTGGAACAGCTAGCACGAGCACTATGTGCAGTGGATCTAGAATGGTTTGGAAGGAAGGACAAAGAGGCAGGGGGAAGAGGGAGAGTCCATGGACCTGATTCAAGCCCCTCCCCCCATATGTAACATACAGGCCAAGAAGATTTTAATGCCTCTACTTTAAAAAACAAAAATTATTCTCAAGGACTAGCCCCAGGACAGGTGCGTGGGAACAGCAAGCAGATTAGGGACACTATGCAAGCAGCTGTGCAGATTAGCTCCAAAGCAACAAGCAAATACAAAACCACAACAGCTCCAGTTGCATTTGCTGGCTGGGATAAGCTGTAGGGGAGGGGCCACGTAAAGTGGCAGAGGTCCATCCACGAGCAGAGGAAGGGGAAGACTATTACTTTGGAATGAGGCAGTTGTCACCTGCTTTACTCCAACCTGTGTGAGGAATCTTCACCCTGGTCAAGGGTCTAACAACACTCATTTTCAGGACTGTGACTCCACTTCACTAACCCTTTCCATTGTACTCAGTACCACATATTACACCCCCAATATGTAGAGTCTTGCTAGACACACTCAGGGAGATACAACACAGAGGAAGCAATCAGATTTCCAAAGTCGTCTTTTGAGTGCTTGCCTCTTCAACAGCAAAGCAAGGCCGTCTCATCCTGCTCGCTTCTGAAGCGGTGGCTTCCAACATGCTGTGCTCCCGGCTTGGCCGCTCCTTTCTAATTAATCCGCTACTCCTTGTTGTGTTGCAGATGTCTCTGGCAAGAGAAAAAAGTAAGGGCTTAACATAAGAATCTGCATCACCTTGATTCAAGTTGCATCTTGGACCGTTTTAGAAGGCACACATCATTTAGGACAGAGATCTGCACTACAGAATTATGCAAATAATTTTCAGTTAGATAAAACCACTCAGACACACACACACACACACACACACACACACACACACACACACACCATTTTTGTTCCAAGAACCCTCCAGGCAAGCATCCCAACACTACAGACAGCTCCTCCAAGGCCCCTCTGGCCCACAGCCAGGAACGTCTATCTACAATGGCCCCCAAAGTCTTCAAACCTCACTCCTCAAGATCCCCGACATTCCCTCTCAGGGCCTCTCAAGGTGCCCCATCCTTCCTCTTTGCTCTGCTTGTTCCTGCTCTTCCTCAGGTTCTGCCCCACCCTCCCTAGGGCCTTTCTGCACAAGGAACATCCCCCTCACTGCAGGAGGGTTGAAGTTTGTTTTTTTTCCATGCCACCAGAATGCAAACTGATTTCACATTGTTGTTACCCAAGCTCGCTCAGAAAGGCAGGCAACATGATCCTACATGGACCGTCTGCAAAAATTGCAGTTTAAAAGACTGAAAGCATCAGGTATTGGCAGAAGAAAAGGAAAAAAAAGAGGAGGCATATCTGTAGTAATGCAGTTCAGTGGAGTGCCCATTGCTAAAAGGCCTCCAAGCAGTTCTATAAAGGACATGAACAGAGCTTAGAAAATATGGAAAAATGCTGCACTAAAGATGGAGGGAATCCTTGCTAAAGAAAAAGGGATTATACAAGGAAAGATGAAGGATTTTACCTCAAGCGATGCACAGTGTGACAAGTAGCAGCTACTCTCTCTTTTCCGTGAGGTATTTTCTTTTCTAGGAAAGAAGGGTGCAGCTATTAGTAATTGTGCAAGGGGGACAGCAGCACTTTAAGAGTCTGCATGAAGAAGAGCTTCCTGAAGAATCCATTTTCAATTTTCTTGGCTAATTAAACCAATATGTAAACCCATTTTACACTGCATCATAGCATGATATCTAAAGCATTAATCTTCCCCTTTCAAAAAGAAAAGAGGAGAAATTCACTGGGCTATGAAGAAACTGTTTTCTTAGACTAGTCCTTTCTGTTTCAAAAGTTCACTACCCAAAGTGAGTGTTTAATACTATTTACCTGGATTATTTTAAACTAGAGCTGTCAAAATGGCAGCATGCAGCTGAAAACAGTTAAATCATAGGAGTGGTGGCATTAAATCCCTCACCACATACACCAACACAGCAGTTCATGAGAAGCCCTGTGGTCTGGATCCATCCCCAGGCCACAGGGCTTCTTGCCATGGCTGTTGGGGTCACTGCTGGCACTAGCAGCAAAGGAGTTAATGCTGCTGCCACCATGATTTAACCATTTAAGGCCTACCAACTCCAATGAGTTGGACACTCCTGTTTTTTGACTAAGTGCAGAGAATCAAAAATAATGCACGTCATTATTACTCATGCTTAATATCAGGACAGCTATGGAGGCAAGCAGGAGGGGAAGCCAAGGGCCAGATGCCACATACAGCACCAAAAATGGATTTCAACACCAAGTGCAGTCCTAGTCCTCTGCTCAAGCCCTAGGAATCTGCCAGTCTCCCTACACATGTAATGCATCATCACCTTAACCTTAAGATTAAATTGCAACATGACAGTGAGGAGGGGGACCTCTCTCATGTCTGGCATTGACTGTTTTCAAAGACTGCAGCTAGGCAGAATAGTATCTGGACTGTCCTTCCTGAGCTGTACAGTCACACAGGCTATGTAGCAGAAAGCCCCCTTTTCCTCTTGCCTGCATTTGCTCTCCCCTCTTTGAATATGTTTTTCCTCTCCTACCTTTCCTTCCTTCCTCTTTCTTTCACTTTAAGATAAGGAATTGTGTTTTAAAATTTGTATGTGTGCATTTTGTATCTCCCCGTGTACTTTGGTATTTTTATCTATTTGTGTGCCATGGCATTACTTTTGTAGCTTATATTTTATACTCCTCACCTTTCAACTAAATGTGTTTAGTAACAGTATTAACAAGGGCAGGAGTCAAACTGCTGCTTCCCTGTATCAGGTGAGCCCCTGAAAGAGCGAGTGAATCAGTGATTGAATGCGTAACACAGTAGCAGACAGCAATTAACACCTAGGAAAGACGCAGATGACAATGTAACAACTGGGAAATCTCTAAACCTCACTGTTCAAGGGCTAGAAGCCCTGGCCTGAGTTAATCAACACCGGGGACCAACTTTTGGGATGACTATCTCCAGACCGACCGCTCCCAGAGCCCTATTCAAAATTCATCAACGGACTCCCAAACCTGTACGTACATGCGGACGACCCCTGGGGCTGACAGATGCCATCCAGTAGCCACCGAGGGGGAAGTCCCACGAGGGTCAACGACCCCTGGATTGGACAAACCTGAAAACTGGGGAGTCACCAAAGTCTGCCAAGGACAGATAAAAAAGCAGTGAAAAGTGACCCTCAGTGACACCCTCTTAATCTCCAACTTGACCAGCACCTGACCTGTCCAGCCAGAAGGACTAGCCGGCAACCCCCTTCTGGAGGATAACACCACGCTGAAAGAAGCCTCAACTGGCCATCGACGACAGACTCCAGCGCTTGATAGGTATACCTGACTCTTGTAGCTTGCTACTGTGTGCGTGTGCGGACCAGCCCCAAGGTTTACGATTTAACTTCATTACAGTGTTTCAAGCCGCCTAATAAACCAGAATTTTAAGGATCCCAAGTTGGACATTTGTAGCCAACAGCTATGCCCATTTGGAAGTTAAAAAGGACTCAAAGCCTCATAAATAAGCATTACACCACACCACTTTGGATGAGTTCTGGACCAGGAAGACAATAATGGATTCATGTCAGTCTTACCTAGTTGTAGCATTTCTATTCCAGATGTAGACCTTGTCAGTCTATCTTTCGGAGGATCAGAAGTTTCTGAAAAAGTCTTAACAATAAGAAGGAAAAACTTGAAAATAAACCTGGATGTGATCAAAACAAATGTCTCAGCCTGCCTCACCCAAGGTCGCTGGATGACTATCATAGGTTAACTCTAAATTGACTGGTTAGGATTCATAGATGTTAGGGTCGGAAGGGACCTCAATAGATCATCGAGTCCGACCCCCTGCATAGGCAGGAAAGAGGGCTGGGGCTAGATGACAGTTCAGTTTCTCTAGTCTCTCCTCGTAGGGCTTGGTCTGCAGGCCCTTAACCATATGAGTGGCCCTTCTCTGGACCCTCTCCAGGTTATCCGCATCCCTCTTGAATTGTGGCGCCCAGAATTGCACACAGTACTCCAACTGCGGTCTGACCAGCGCCCGATAGAGGGGAAGTATCACCTCCTTGGACCTATTCGTCATGCATCTGCTGATGCACGATAAAGTGCCATTGGCTTTTCTGATGGCTTCGTCACACTGCCGACTCATGTTCATCTTGGAGTCCACTAGGACTCCAAGATCCCTTTCCACTTCCGTGCCACCCAGCAGGTCATTCCCTAGGCTGTAGGTGTGCTGGACATTTTTCCTCCCTAGGTGCAGCACTTTGCATTTCTCCTTGTTGAACCGCATT